GGCAAAGTCCTGCTGTAAAGTTACATTAGAATGCGCCATACTATATACCCGGTGAGTAGAGCCGAAACTACCAGCTTTATAATCACAATTGATATTTCTTACTATGTTTCTAATAATGGCTACGAGTTTAAGTGAGAATACACTGTATTTGGTCAACAAAAGTACCACCATAAATGTGCATTAGGAGGATAGGCATGGCCGGTTTGGGCAGTGAATAATCATATATTATCTATTTTGCTGTTCTCCGCCTACAGGAATGACTCATGAGCAAAAGGGCCTGTTCATCTCTGAAGGTATCCAGCCCAGTGCATTGCACAGGTAGGTGCAAGTTGTGGCAAATTTCTGGTACCGTCTTTTATAGGCTAGAAAAAGAAGGCAGGCCGGACGTGAAGACAAAATGAGGATGCAAAAGCATAAGTATACAGCAAAATAGCTCGCATAAGAGGAGGCGATCATAAAGGTAATTTTGGCCAATTTTATGCGAGCGAAACGGCTTTGCTGAGCACGGCAGAAGAGCTCTTCTGACCATCAAAAACAGTACGCTTTGGTTGTCAAGGCAGCGACCGTTCTTGATGTGCAGAGATCAAAGAGGTGTGGATATAGTATGATGAGCAGAGAATCATGCTGATAATGCTAAAATGTTTACCAAAGTGATTGACACCGAGTCGAACAGCTAAACTCTAAGCACATAAATTCGTCAATATAACTCTCTGGCGACTAAAGCTCGCCAAAGTTAGAAAGCGTCTGCTCATGTCACTTCGCTCTGGTGACTATATAACCTCGAATCATCAGTCTTCGGTAATTCGTGGGATTTTTGTGCACTGAATTAAACCTCATACGATATCAATCTACGCCCCTACAGTATCGTCAGACGAAGGTGACATTAGGGCTAAGCGTCGGCTGAAATTAATTGTTTTAGATGGTCGCAAGACTCACCTGAGCCTCATCCTCTTTTCCGACCCCCAGACCCTGTTGGTCGAGCAGTTGTGGCTCGACCAGATCTCTCCGAATCGCCGTCTGCCCGCCCCACCGGCCCAACCAGCCACTGATCCGGCCACCCCAGCGCGTCGGTAAACAGGTCGCTTGGCCAGAGTCTGAGACTCGAGCCGAGCCGTTCGGCTCCGCCTCTTCAGGCGCAGCAGAGCTTCCTCCAACGCCCAGCCACCAGCCACCAGTCGGGCTGCCGGAGAAATGGTTACGTCGCCGTAACAACAGCAGATCTGGCATGCTTTTTCGCCGACTGCGCTTGGCAGCCGCGGCCTGTCGCCTTGACTGGCCAGAACCGATGCCAGAGTATTGTAGGGCGCGTCCGCCAATCTCGGCTGGACTTGGCAAACTTTCGCCCGGCCGAAGTGGGTAGTCAAGCGGCATGTGGCCGGTGATCGCCTAGTCGGGCAACAAGAGAAAACAGACATACAACACTCATAATACGAGGTTTTTAAAAGAGGATTCTATTAAAGACATGAAGACGAAAGCTGTTTACTCTCTATTTGAGTTGCAATTTCTTTGTTAGTATTTGTATCGTCCTCACTTCTCCTCTCACTCAGGCCGCAAAGGCTTGAATGTCATTTCCTATGAATCTTCTGGATCAGAAACATTAAGGTTTATTGCAACGGTTTCCATTTGAGTTCTTAAGCGAACGACAGACATGAGCAAGGTGTACGAGGTCGTAAAAGCTTTTTTGCTGATCCTGAAATAATTTGGACTCTGGCTTTTGGAAGCATTTGCACAAGGTTGGACTCCCGCAGTGTCAACAGCAAAAATGTCTCCTCCAGCTAAGCAGCATGGGTACCGACTTGGTGAATGAAGGGGATGAAAGCGATTTGTAAATTGGCCTCACCGGACACCGCCTTAGACTTGTGACGACCGCCATGTAACAATCGACCCCGGATAAAAATACCTTTTAGACAGCATGGATATGTGAAATTCAGGGGAAATAAGAGGCCTATTTATACAATTGTGGGAACATTAATCACCTTATGAGCCCATCCTGTTTGGATAAACATCGTCATAGCCAGAAACCATAATTTACTAAGAATTCACCTTTCTTGGTTCGGTACGTTCAGTAAAATTATGATTTCTGGCCTCAAAGTATGACCATTACATGACGGACAAAAGCTTGGCAAGGATTCATCTGAGTCAGAGGACGGTGATCAGCGGTCTTTTTTGTAAAATCCAGCCGTCACAAGTCCAAGGCAAACTTTACGAGTCCCTTACACTTGCCTTTTCTAACGAAAATAACGATAGCTCAGCGTTTTTCTTAACTCAAATTCTATTTATATCTTTCACCAACAACAACAGCTAGTCGTAGATATGAAGATAAGAATCTCTTAAAAAATCGTAATATTGCATTCTTTATTTCATCTGCAAATATCATGGTTTTTAACGAACTTTTAGAAAAT